AATGAGCATACTTATCATAAAAATCACATGCTTCCTAAACAGAATTCAAGACCTAACATATCATCAGTCATCAATTTTGTTATTTTCTTACAAGTATGACTACAAAAATGCTTGTTATTATAATCTATGTCCTTCACACTAGTAGAATTATCATAGTCTACATCATTAAAATGTTTGTCATCATTCTAATTAGCATAATCATTCAACTTAACACAATCATCTTTACTTAGTGAGCCCATTTTATATGATGTTAAAACTATAAAAAAATAAACAACATAGGCCTATGAAAGGGTACACAGGTAGAGTTGTTACATGCAAATAGTTATATGCAAATTAATCCCATTTTCTTTCAAATCAATTGCAATATTCATTTGTTAATTTGAAAGGTTTCAAAACAAAGTCAAATGATACACAATGTATGTCAAATAATAAATACTCTAAAAAGCTCAACTTATTAAGATATAAATTATCTTGCTTGAACTCATGATTTACTTCATCTTTTTTACATTTTCTTGAATCATTAATTGTAACTAGTGTCAATTTTCTTACATACCACCTCACAATAATTGAAACAATACAAAATTATAATGCAAAGTTTAAGATTGTGTAGTGCTAACCTTATCAAAATAGTGCATTAGGTATCATTATCTTGCAAAAAAAAAAAAAACTTCTAAAATAACTAATCATGTTTTAAAAACTTGTTTAATGGATCTGAATGTGGAAAGATTATAGAAAATGTAAAAAATAAAAATAAAATAAAATAGAAGAAACGAGATGAGATGTATTCGAATGAAGGCAACTAGCTCTTATATTTTTGTGCAAATATTCACATTATAGCCTCAGAAATAAATAAGAAAGACCTTGTACTCTTTGTCAAAAATCAGAATGAAATTAAAAATAAAATTAAATCTATCACATCAACTCAATTAAATTAACTACTAATTACTAAACAAAATAAATAATGCATTGTAATATAGTAACCCTTCGATACTTTCACGTCCTATATATAAAATAAGATGGCACATAAAAAATATTATCATTATTCTTAGTTTCTTATATATTCTTAAGAAATATACTATTTTCTTATAAGGATGGACATGCTTCCAAGTCCCCCACAAACTTCATGTTATGTGCATGCACACACAAACACACATGTTCTCATATAAATTGAAAAATCAAATAAGGCACTTACTTTTAATTTTTTCCCCAGCGAAAACTCATAGAGTTTCATGATCCATAAGATTTTTCACCTATAACTGAATGTGATTATATTCATATATATTTTTTGAGCTTTAAAATATCATGTGTATAATTTAAGCATTTTAGTTGCCTTTTCTCTACCACTGTCACTCTCATTGGTTATTATCAACGAAATAAGATAAGTTAATCTGAAGTATGCAAGCATTTTACCTCATAATTTAAATTATGCAATGATGGTTCCTACCATAAAAGAATGAATAGTTTAACAACTAAATTATAATAGTTCAAATTTAAAACAGTCACTCAACTATGCTTTATGACAAGGTTTCAAACTCTTTAACAGACCATGAGTGACATATTTATTAGTATTATTTGTACCATATATATCAGTTATGTATTAATGGCATAATCATATAATTATCAAATTAACACCAAAATTAGCTACAAATTAAAAATTGCATTCTCTTTCTTTTATATTAGGCCTAAGAAGTATGAGGCAATGCTATAAAAGTACTTAGCTAAGGACAATTGATCAATAGTTAATATAGACCTAATTGGGATTTCATGTGATGGGCTGCTATAACTAAAATTCAAGATTCTAGTAAGTTGATATTAACTTGTAGAAATGATCCAAAGTCTTATTGGTTAAATAAATAGTAGTATTATTATTGTCTGCGTGTGTGTTTACTTTCGTACTCATTATATGGGTCTAGTTTCTCATAAATCTAACTTAGTAGTTGTTGTCTTATATTGAAATTTCATGAGACTACTAGGCTATTAGAAATATCCTCTTATTGCAATAAAAACTGATAAACTTGTTGTAATTGAGAAATTAAAGGTGACTTTTTCAAAGATGTATGTTATAAATCTGTATAACATGTTATGATATTTAAACTTTCTATAGTTGAGTACTTAATTGGGACAAAAAAATGAATATTGAACAAAAGAGCACCTGATTTGCCTAATGAATATAATGTGGTTGGATGATTTATTAAACAACAATTATAAATTACATGCCAAAAGAAAATTTAAATACAAAAATATTTAAATACTGCATTTGACCTCTCAAATTTTGCTAACATATATTAGAAGTAGGTAGAAACCTTTCTAAAATTCATTTTTGGTTATGCCTTATAATAACCACATGTACTGGAACTCAAGAACCTTCAATCTCAGTTCCTTAAATCTTGATTTCAATCAACAGTATATAAAATAATCATAAATATTATAAAACTAGAGAGCAATAGCAAGTGAAAACCCCAATCAAGCATCCATGAATGAAATGAAAAGTAGATAAAAAAAAAAAATAAACACTACCTCAAACATGAAAGTGAACATAAATGAAAACAAATTCGAGCAACCTCAATCAAAAGAGAAGACAGAATGAATAAATAAGTTGAGAGCAAGAAAATGAACAAAAGCTTGGGATTTCTGATGACAATGGGAGAGGGAATACTTAGAAAAGTGAGGGAGTGATAGGTGGGGGAAGGGGCTCAGACCGACCTTGGTGGCAGACTAAAGTGACTTGAAGAGACTAAGTGTAACAATGAGGCTAAGGCAAGAAGATGAAGCACAAGTTGAGAACGACTTCAGTGACAAAGAGATGTGAAGTGAAGGGGGTTGAAACATAGTAACAATGAAGCAAGAAGATGAAGCACTCATGAAAACATACACTCAAATTTCATTTTTCTAATAATAATTATTGAGAGACTAATTGATAAATAAAACAAAATAAAAAATATAATAATTTACTATTAAATAAAATTATTACTTAAACTGAGTATTATTAATTAAAATTTTTCCCATTTTTAAGGGTACAAAATCATTTATCTTTAAATTTTTAGGATCATAACTATTTTTTGTTATGTTTGAATGAGTGTGTTATCCTAACTTAATAACACTTAGGTTCTATTTGGTAGAAATCATTAGAATCATAACTTGTTAGTCATAGAAGCCGGTTAAATTTGTTCAAAAGTAAGTGTGAGTGTTTTAAAAAAATAGTATAAAAGAAAGGAATAGCAATCAAGTCCATACATAATTTTGAGACTAACAAAGTTTATCTATCTATCTATATATAAAATTGACTGCACTTACTTATTATTTGGTGTATTAAATTTTGAAACGTAAAAAATTATTTTTATATATGTAACTTCATCTACTTATTATATTATGCATTAAAATTTGAAATATATAACTTACGAATTAAAATTATATTTTATTCATACTTATTATGTTTGAATTGTATTTAAAGAATGTTTATTATTATTGATGGTTATATTATGTTACAAACGGAAACATAAATATTTATATTATAAATTGCCTTAGATTACCATTATTAAAATTAATTATAATATTTTTCATAATTTACGAATTAAAATTATTACTATATTTTAATATAATTTATATTTTATTACGTACTTCAAATTTTAATATATTTAATATAATTTGTATTATATATTTTAATTTAATTTTTTGAGTAATCATAAAGCTATATTATTTTTAAATGATATAATGTATTAAATTTTATTTTTAATTAATTAATTTGTATTAAATCTATCATTATTTTTTTATATTAATCATAAGTAATTATTTATTTTTATATTTTTTATATTTTTATAGAAGAACAAGTTAGAATAAAGATAAATAAACTTTTTTTTAACGATCTAAATTCAACAATGATTAGAATATCACGACATTTAAGTTATTTATAAAATAATTTTATTATCTTATTATATATATTTTTCTTACTTTATTATTATTATTATTATATATAATATAATGAATAATTTTATAATATCACAAAATAATATATATTTTCTTTTTAAATTATAAAAATAAGAAATTTTATGCTATTTAAAATTAATAAAATACATTTTATGCTATTTTTTTAGTTTATCTAATATTCTAAATTAATATAATTAATTCTAAAAAAAATACTAAACTATACATATTTTAATTTTACAGTACTATTCTAATATTATGATATTTTTTACAAATAAATTTGTTTATATAACAATAAAAAATTAATATATTTTAATTCGCATATATTATCATATATATATTTTTTATGTATTTATACTAAATTTATTATTATTTCTATTTTTAATAAAATTATGACAGTAATAAAAAATTATTTATGCTTTACTTAATTAATATATTCCTTTTAATCTAACATTTTAATTTTATTTACTTTTATCTATTAATAAATAACTAAAACTAAAAAAAATTAAAAATATGTAGTATATTATTATCAATTCATTATGTATCATAATTTTGTAAATTAATTTATTTCTCATAATTATAAAAAATATACTTTTTAAGTAGTAAATAAAACATTTGTTAATGTTATCATTTTTTTTAAAATTTTAGAAAAATTTTAAGTATATTGATATTTATTTATTTATTTTAAAATTTATTATAATTATTACCATATAAAATTATTTATTATATTTTATTTTAAAATAACTAATAATATGTATCACAAATATATATATATATATATATATATTAAAAATTTATTTATTTATTAGTATTTTTTAAAAAATTCAACATATTTAATATAATAATTTTTTAATATATATATTTAATATTTAAATTATATATTTTTATATTAAAATAAATTTATGCAATAAAAATCAAACAAATTCGTGCTACACACGGTATATATTTACTAGTATAAGAGCTAAATTTGCTTAGGTAAATTTAAGTGGAAAGGATACAAATTTAAATAAATTACAGAACACTTCAAACCTGGGACAAGGCTCCTGGTCCATGATTTTGAATTATTTTATTATAATTTTGAATAAAATTTCTTCTTCCAAATTTGTGGCTACATTTTCACAAAAAGAAGTTGTGGCTTGCCTTCTTTAACAAATGCGTCCATTATTTTGAATTATTTTATTATAATTTTGAATAAAAAAAATTAATAAAGTATTGTGGCTGATAAAAAATATAAAATGAAATACACAGAAAAAGACAAAAGGCCATCACCTTCGTCCTATCATCCAATTGGAACCACGAAATGGATATGGTTTCTTATCTTCTAAGCCTCCAAACCCCATTTCTCTGCGACTGTCACTGCCACATGTAGAACAAACCACCGTTAACCCAAAGCCACACTTACATTACAGAAGCGCTACCAAAATCACATTCATGGAAGCTATTTTCGTCGCAAAACCAGCTTCACACCTCAAAACCACATTCTCCCCCCATTCCAGACACCAATTCCTAACCCACCAACATAAACATTCCCTTCTTCCCATTCGCCACAAATCCACGCGCTTCCTTTCCCTCAACGCAGCATTCCAAAATCAACAACAACAACAACTACCCAAAGACACCGAAGATGAGTCCTACGGCGAAGTCAAAGGAATCATCGGCAGCAGAGCTCTCCCCGGCGCTGCCGCCATGGAATACCTCATCGAGTGGAAAGATGGTCACGCTCCGTCGTGGGTCCCCGCCGACTTCATAGCCAAAGACGTCGTTGCCGAATACGAAACTCCGTGGTGGACGGCCGCGAAAAAAGCCGACGAGTCCGCTCTCAAACAACTCATCGACTCCAGCGACGGCCGCGACGTAGACGCCGTGGACTCCGATGGTCGAACCGCTCTCCTCTTCGTGGCTGGACTCGGCTCGGAGCCGTGTGTTCGGCTTCTAGCGGAAGCCGGCGCCAATTTGGACCACCGCGACAACAGCGGTGGCTTGGCGGCGCTACACATGGCGGCGGGGTACGTGAGGCCCGGCGTGGCGAAGCTGCTTTTGGAACTCGGCGCGGATCCGGAGGTTGTGGATGACCGTGGAAGAACGGCGTTGGATCTGGCGAAGGAGATTCTGAAGGTGACCCCGAAGGGGAATCCGATGCAATTTGGGCGCAGGATTGGATTGGAAGGTGTGATTAGGGTTTTGGAAGGGGCTGTGTTCGAGTACTCAGAGGTGCAGGAGATTCTGGAACGGAGGGGGAAGGGTGAGAATTTGGAGTATTTGGTGAAGTGGAAGGATGGCGGTGCCAACGAGTGGGTGAAGGCTAAGTTTGTGGCGGAGGATTTAATCAGAGACTACGAAGCTGGCCTTGAGTACGCGGTGGCTGAGGCGGTGATTGCTCGGAGAGTTGGGGATGAGAGGAAGCCCGAGTTTTTGGTTAAATGGGCCGATTTGGATGAGCCCACTTGGGAGCCCGAGGAAAATGTGGATCCTGAGCTTGTTAAAGTGTTCGAGCAAAGTAACAATCAGCCCCAGCCTAGTAATAATGGGCCTGCAGTTGTCTTGTCGAATCAGGATTGATCCTTTCCTTCGGCTACCATGTTTTTGTAAATTTGTGGAGCACTTTGTGGTTGCATTATTTAAAATCTAATCCATTAGTTGACCGAAAATATATCTAATCCATTACAATTTATTCTTGGTGTTTTGGATCTTACTTTAATTATACTACTATTATTACTAGTAAATATGATAGATTTATTTTATTTTTATTAAATAAATTTATTTTAAAATAAAAAATATATAATTTAAATATATAAATATAAAAGTATACTTTTTATGATTATGAGAAAAAAATTAATTTATAAAATTATGTTACGTAATAAATTATAACAATATAATATATATTTTTAATATTTTTTAGTTTTAATTATTTATTAATAGATAAAAATAAATAAAATTAAAATATTAGAGTAAAAGCAACATGTTGATTAAGTAAGATATAAATAAAGAAATTTTTTTATTATTATCATAATTATATTAAAAATGATAATAATAATAATAATAATTTCAACATAAAAACATAAAAAAAAACTTATATGATAATGTATGCAAGTTAAAATCTTTTAATTTTTTTTTACTTTTATATAAATAAATTTATTTATAAAAAATATTATACATATTAGAAAAGTACTGTAGAACTAAAATGTGTATAAGGTTAATATTATTAATTTAGAATACTTGATAGACTAAAAAAATATTTATGATAAAATTATTATTAATTTTAAATAACATAATTTTTTTTAAATCTAAAAATAAAATTTAATTGTTTCATGATATTGTAAAACTATTCGTTATTATAAAATTTTAAAATAAATAATTATAATAATAACTTATTAAATATAACAAAATTCTTTAATGAGTTATAAAGTTTAAATAAAATATTCTATAGTTTTTAACTTATGCATTTGTTTATATTTATTAACCTAAATTTATATAATAAATTTTTTAATATAATTATAATTAAAATTGCTAATAAAATGTTAATATAAAGAATATTTTGATCATATTTTAAATATTAACTTTTGTCTTATTATTAATTTAAAGTGTATTTTAAGGTTAGAATTATATATTTAAATACATAATATATTAAACTAATTAATAAAATGATTTAAATCAATACCACTAATATTTGAATAGAAATTAAAGTAAAGATACAAATTTATTTTTAAATAAAAAGTAACTTGAGAATTTTTTTAAATTTTTTAAAAAATATCTTCGTTTATTAAATATAATTTTATTTTCAATTAAAAGGTAACTTGAGAACTTTATTAATTTTTTGTAAAAATATCTTTGTTCATTAAATATAATTTTATTTGACAATAAATTTTTAAATATTTTATATAAAACATTTTAATAATTTTTTATTAAATATTATTCACAATAATTTTTTTATTATCGTTTTTAATATAATATAATCATCAATTATAATCAGCTTTCTTTAAATCCAATTCAAAGATAATAAATATGAAGTAAATATAATTTCAATTCATAAGTTATAGAAAATATTATGATTAATTTTAATTAGTTTTTATTTAATACAAATTATAATAAATTTGTTTATAAAATTTGTTATAAATGCATAAAATAATAAGGTAAGAGAAATATATATAATAATATTGCAAAATTATTTTATAAAAATAAAAATATTTAGTGACATTTTACTTTTCAAATTCTACACAATTTTAAAAGTATTTATATAATATTACAATTAAAATAGTTCAATCTTCTAAATATTCTATTGTTGCATTTTGTTCACCATTTTTTTTTTTGTTTTCCTCAGGTTGCAACCTAAAAGAACATATAAAATATAAATTATTGTATGATTTAAGAAATTTAAACAATACATTACAAATTTATAATTTATACATTAATTTCTTCCTTCTTTTTTTTTTTGAGTGAATTTGATGTTCTCATAGTTGGAGATATAGGTGAAAAACTTATTGTCAAATCATTTTCTTTTGTTTTCATATTTATATTGTCTAAAGTTTCTTCTTTCTCAATCTATAAATATTAAACAATTAAAAAAAAGTTATTCATAATCGTATTATAAATATTATAAATAAAAATAATAAAATTCTAATTTAATCTTCTATATTGCCTTTACTGTTAGCTTTAAAATTTTATTTATAGTCAAAATTTATCTTTTATGACTTTCAAAATAAGTACTCATTTTTATTTAAAAAATACGTGAAGTGCTAATAATCTTTAAAAGTTGTGAAGATAACTTCAACCTTTCACCATCATTCTTAAAAAAATTATTATATAAAAATAATTATTTTTTTAATATATTTTATTTATATAATCAATCATTTGATTAGATTTTCAAATAAGTTAGAACTTAACACATTTGTTTACAATTTTAGATGTTACAATATGATCTTTTAACTTTATTTATGCTAATTGTTTAACAACTTCATCAAATAAAACAAATATAGTTGAATCGTAGAATCTTTAACATTAAGCTCAAGACAAAATATGTGTGACGTATATAAATTAAGGTAATAATATATAATTTAATTTATTTTAATATTAAAATTTATAAATTATAATACATAGCATTATAATTATATCGATATATTAATTACCTTATCATTGGATACTTAATATTTTTATAACATGATTCACATTTTAAATTTATAATTATGAAAGAAACATTCTTCTTGCAATGAGGACAAAAAAATATGATACAAACTATTTTTAAGCAATATATAATTCAAAATTGCAATACTACTAATTACGTCGTTCTAAAAATTAATTAAAATATTAGTTTAAAAGTTAAATAAAAATATAGTATAAGAGAAATTAAATTTACCATATCACTCTTTCATTTTACCATTGTCAAAATTTTAAATATGTTTTTAAAATTTTCTAATTTGAAAAGAATCTTAGATCTTGTATTATCAACATTGTGAACAATATGTATATCATTAAAATCCTTACAATAAAGTGATGATGAATAATTGAAAATATGGTAAAGATAAATAATAAAGAATTAACAATAATTAACATAATAGAAAAATTTTAAATAATTTCAATATATGAATGAATCTATAAAATGAGTAATTTTTGATATATCAACATTAATATAAATATTTGCTGATCTAGATGTAGATATAGAAATATTACTTATAATATTTATCTTCATTAGAACTCGTTATTTTCTTATAAAAGCATGAAAAACATAAAAATAAATAATTATTTATGATGAATATAAGAAAATAATGATAAATTTAATACAAATTAATCAGTTAAAAATAAAATTCAATACATGATATCATTTAAAAATAATACAGCTACATGATTACTCAAAAAATTAAATTAATATATATAACACAATTTAGTGAAACAAATTAAAAAATATCAATATCAAAAACACATATACTTACATGAATAAGTAATCTTTAACAACTGACATGATTGCAAAATATAAAAAAAAAAGACAATAAAAAAATAATGAACAAGTGTTCAAAAGTTGTAGAAACGTGATTTATATAAGTAGAAATGAAGTCCTAAAAATGTATGAAAAATTAAAAATAAAAAATTAATATAATAAAAGTTATCTTTTTATTATATTAAAATTTTTTCAAAAATTTTTTTGTATAATTTAATCATTATTCTTTTTACTATTTCAATATTTGACATAAAATATTTTTTAAATTATTTTATTTATAATAAATTTTAATAAATTTTTTATTAAATATCATTCATAGTAGTTTTGTTATTGTCATTTGTAACCTTATATAACTATCAATTCTAATAATTTTTTCTTAAACACAATTCAAAGATAATAAGTAAATAAATTATAATTATAATTCTTAAATTATGTAAAATATTATAATTAATTTTAATAATTTTTAAGTTAATGTAATTTTAATTTTATTTTATATATAATATTTTCATATATAAGTTTATTTTTTTATTAAAAATTTAATTTAACAATATATAATATAAACTAATAATTTTATAAGTATATATTTTTAATTCAAAATATATTTTAATGTTTGAAGTACATATTAAACTATAAATTATATTAGATAAATCAATAAAATTATTTAAAAATATAAACTTATCTTTTTATTAAAAATTAACTGAACAATATATAATATAAACTAATAAATTTATAAATATAGTTTTTTTAATTTAAATTACATTTTTATATTTGAAGTATATATTAAAATATAGATTATATAAAACTAATTATTAAAATAATTTAAATATATAAATTTATTTTTTATTAGAAATTAAATTTAACAATGTATAATATAAACTCATAATTTTGTAAGTGTAGTTTTTTTAATTCAAAGTATCTTTTAGTGTTTTAAGTACATAATAAAATAAAAATTATATTAAATTAATTAATAAAATAATTTAAATTAATACTATTTAAATTTAAACATAACTTGAAATAAAGATACAATTTTATTTTTAATTAAAAGTTAACTAAAAAAATTGTATAGATATTTCTTTTTTTATTTAATTTTTATTATGAAAAATATTAAAAATAATCTTTATAATTTTAAATTTAATGTAATTTAATTTAATTTTATATATAGTATTTTCATTTTTAAAGTTATTTTTTATTTGTAAAGTTATTGTTTCGCTAAAAATTTAAGTTAACAATATATAATATAAATTAATAATTTTGTAAATGTAATTTTTTTAATTTAATGTACATTTTAATATTTGATTTACATATTAAAATATAGATTATATTAAATTATTTAAATAAAATAATTTAAATATGTAAACTTGTTTTTATTATAAATTTAGTTTAACAATATATAATATAAATTAATAATTTTGTAAGTATATTTTTTATAATTTAAAGTATATTTTAGTGTTTGAAATACATATTAAAATATAGATTATATTAAACTAATTAATAAAATAATTTAAATTAATACCACTCAAATTTAAATATAACTTAAAGTAAAGATATAATTTTATTTTTAATTAAAATATAACTCAAAAAAATTTTAAATAGTTTTTTTCTTATTTAATTAATTTTTTTATTAAACATTATTCACAACAATTTTGTTATTGTCATGTTTAACATAATATGACTATCAATCCTAATAAAATTTCCTTAAATACAATTTAAAGATAATA